AAATTTACAATAGATTAACATTTTCGAGCCAAGTTTATTTATGACAGCTGCCACAACCAACTGACCTAAAAAAAACTAAAAAAAAAAACCACTAAAATGATTATAACTCAGTCAATTGCACAAATCATGACTTAAAATTTAATGTGATTGAAACAGAGTCCTTCACACAACATATTCTGAGTGTGACATCATTCAATATCAAATCAAATGCGGAATAACAATATTTACAATATTTCATTAAAATATCTACAACAGATTTCTCAAAATAAAATTATCTTGGTCTAAAACTGGTGTGGAAAGTGACTGGCAATACGAATTCCTTCAAGAAATGTTAAGAGCTTTAATTAGAGGCCAAAAGGATATTTTTAACAACACTTGCAGCAGGACTAAAAGCCGCTACTTTTTCCACATGATTTGAACCCCGCAGCTTATTCATTCATTCAACCTTTATTTAAACAAGTTAGTTCCCACTGAGCTTCGGGGGCTCATTTACAAGAGAGAACTGTTTCAGTTATATAATGCTGCAGCTAATTTATGGAATTCCATCCATCCATTATATCCTGAACATTATATCCTCAATAATCCAGGTAGAAAAATCCAAAAAAGGTAAATCTGGTCCTCTGGACATTCAAAAATCAAAACAAAGCAAAAAATGTAGAAATGTTTCGTCTTTCATCCGAAAGACTTCCTCAGTCTGAGGTGCTGTATTCAGCTCAGTCTCTTAAATAGCACCTTCTCAGATTGGATCAACCAGTTTTGCTGCTGACAACCAAAACCAGCTGCTCACATGATCAAGAAGGACTATCAGCCTAACAATGGATCATTATCACACTAATGAATGTTTACTATTCACCGGGGGTTGAGTGATACTAGCAATAAAGCAATGCAAGAGGGGGACAGTTGAACCCAGAGGCCTCCAGCCCTGTTTAATGATGGACGATTTCTTTTCACAAAGATGGCCTCCTTTACTCCTCTCTCAAACAATCATTCCTCTCTATCCAGGATGTGAACATCTTCATCCCTGAAAGAGTGACCGCTGGCCTGGAGATGAGTGTAGACCACAGAGTTTTGGCCTGATGATGTTGATCTTCTGTGCTGGGCCATCCTTTTGGCCTGTGGCTATTTAGTTTCCCCGATGTAAGACTGATCACAGCCCTCCTGACACTGAACAGCATACACAATATTACTCTGTTTGTGCCGGGGGACTGGATCTTTGGGATGAACCAGTCTTTGCCGTAATGTATTTTGGGGTTTAAAAGCCACTGGGACATTGTGTTTAGAAAATAAACATCTCAGTTTCTCTGATACTCCCTCAACATACAGAATGACCACTGGTCTGGGTCTGGGTTCCTCCTTTTCACCTGATGGCTGACTGGAGTCCTGTTTGGGTTCCTTCTCTGCTTTCAGGAAGGCCCAGTTAGGATATCCACATTGCTCTAGAGCCTGTCATGTGTGGGATTTCTCCTTCTGCCTGGCTCCTGAGTTAGTGGGGACGCTGTCTGCTCTGTGGTACAGAGTCCTGATGACTCCTAACTTGTGCTCCAAAGGGTGATGGGAGTCAAACTGCAAATACTGGTCTGTGTGGGTGGGTTTGCAGTACACCTCAGTTTGCAAATGTCCTCTGTCCGAGACTGAGATCTCACAGTCCAAGAAAGCCAACCTGCCATTTTTTACATCTTCTCGTGTGAACTTGATGTATTTATCCACAGAGTTGATGTGGTCAGTAAAATGCTGGACTTCCTGGGATTTAATTTCAACCCAGGTGTCATCAACATACCTGAACCAATGACTTGGTGGTGTCCCTGAAAAGGACGTCAAGGCTCTACCTCCTCCATGTACAGGTTGGCAACAATAGGAGAAACCGGACACCCCATAGCACACCCATGTTTCTGCCTATAATATTGCTCACCATATGTGAAGTAGGTTGACTGCAGGCACAGTTTCAAGAGTTGACACAGTTGTTCTGTGGAAAGTGTGGTCCTGCTGCTCAGAGTGGTGTCTGATTTTAATCTTAAACTGACCACCTCTATTGCATCATCAACAGGAATGCACGTAAAGAATTATGTGACATCAAAAGAGACCATTGTTTCATCAGTCTCCATGATGACATCCCTCAACTTATCCACAAAGTCCATGGTGTTCTGTATGTAGTGTTCTGAGCTGCCAACTAAAGGGAAGAGTACAGACGCCAGATATTTGGAAACATTGTAAGTGACAGAGTTAATCATGCTAATAATAGGTCTTAAAGGTACACCTTGTTTGTGTATTTTAGGTAAACCATACAGACTAGGTGTGGCCTCCCCTGGGTACAGTCTGTGGTACAGAATACGGTCAATAGCCTTGTCCTGCTCCAAATTTTTCAGGCAATCTATTAACTTCTTCTTGTAACCACTTCCTGGATCTCTTTTCACAGATCATAAGTGGTTAAGTCACTAAGGAGTGTCATAACTTTCTCATGATAGTCTTTCTGGTTCAAAATCACTGTGCACTG